TTATACACCGATCGTCTTTACATATATATATATATAAGCTTATACACCGATCATCTTTACAAAATATATTAAGCCTATACACTGATCGTCTTTATAAAATAAGCTTATACACAGATTGTCCTCACATACACAAAATAAGCTTAAAGCGGCTGATCGTCAGTTGTATTTGTCAGATAATATCTATAATATTTTTCATCACTTTATCCACACTAAAATTTAGTTAAGAAAGCAATCAAGATATGTAAAGAAGACAAAAGGCCAAGCTTGGATTCAGTCAAATTAAAAACAAGTCCCATCAAAAGGCTTTATCCAACACATATTGGCTGTTGTTGTTGGTTAAATTTAACGTCTGTTTTTACCTTGGGTTATATCGCAGACAAGTGTGTCCCGAGAAAGTTGCCAGAGGAGCCAAATAATAGGCTTCTTCCTGAGAAACTTGCCAGAGGAGCCAAATAATAGGCTTCTTCCTAAGAAAGTTGCCAGAGTAGCCAAATAATAGGCTTCGTCTAGGTAGAAGATACAAGATCGATTAGGAGGCCTATTTGATTCTGTTCTGGTAAAGACACAATGTCTTCTGCAGGGTAGCGCCCAAGGTAAATTTCATTCAAAGGAATTGCACCTGGTACTAATAATAGACATTTATAGGTAGTATGACCAGATAGTATTTAATACAGTCATTCACCCAATATTAGATAGTAAAGCCAGATTGTGGTGTAAGTTTAACAGGGTTCCCGCGGTCCTTGAAAATCCTTGAATATCCTTAAATTTAAAATTTTATTTTCAAGGTCTTGAATATCCTTGAATTTCACGGAAATAGGAAAATATCCTTGAATTTCAGTTGAGATCCTTAATTTTGTTTCAAATGTCTTCAATTCCTTTTAAATATGAGATTATAAAGATAGTTGGTAATGTTTTGGTTATTTTTAAGATGAAAAATTGTAACTTTTGACTAAAAAATGTCCTTGAAAATCCTTGAATTTGACGTATATTTATCCTTGAATATCCTTGAAAAAATGTTTGACGAAGCCACGGGAACCCTGTTTAATATCTAATATTGGGTGAACAGCTGTATTAAATACTATCTGGTACTAATAATAGCATTGTCTTGTATATATATTCTGAATAGGCTGCCAAATTACAAATTGTCCAGTTTATTCTATCGTTTGTATATACATGTATGTATATATTCAACCACATTTGGACTGATATTTTGTTTAGATATTTAACTTTCACAATATTGTAGTTTGCATTGGATTAAAAAAATTCTTTGAGTGACGATCAGCTACTTTATTAAACAAGCATGATAACTTTCACCATTTAAAATAAATATCTTTTACTAATATATCATATCATATCGTCGGTGAAGTGTCAAAAGGGTGTATCTAAGAATTTCTAAAGATTAAGAAATAGAACCTTTTGCAATTCGAAATTTCCACAAATCAAGATACAACATTTGAACACCCGATACCCAGAATAGTTTTAATTGGCGTAGAGATACACAGCTTACACAGAAATGTGCATATTAATTGGGAGATTTTATAAATGCAAAAAAGTGTATTTGACTAATTTCCCGAGATACAACCTTTTGACACTTCACCGACGATATATAACTGTTTAATGATCGTTGATTTCGTCAAAATCAGATATTTTAACTAAAGGTATCTGTGTCTCATAAAAGGATCAGTGGATTGACCACAAATTTTGCACACATTCTACTCTGAACATGACTCATGTAACTGCATAGATTAATTCAGAAAAGTCTTTCTATGATCTTGTAAGGACACCTGAGATCACCAAAATATCTGTATGGTTTTACTTGTATTTCTCCCATTTTTTGGTACAGAAGTTGGGTCTGTCTGAAGGGGACCAATAAAACATCTTGATAACATGAACTCGACTCGGAAGTTGTGACAAAACACGACTTGAAAGAACCAAGGACTCGAGTCTCAATCGGTGGACACCCTAGCCGAATAATTCGGCGAATAGAAATTCGGCCAAATGACAGTGGACACACTAGCCGAAATTTCGACGTCGATTGATTCGGTCAAATCATTCGGCTAGTGTGTCCATCGCTTAAGTGAGGGGACTTTTCTTATTCACCATGAATTGCGGACTCATTTAATGAGATTGTGACTTAAACAGGACTTAATTTTTATATTTCAATGCTTTGTATAAATAGTAAGAATAATCATTCATTATATAATGTAAGTACAAGATTAACAATTAATGTATAAACACAGTAAATACCAGTAATTAGTAATGTTAGGTTCCCACTGTCGTGCAATGTATTACGATAGGTTTGTCCCTAATGAGTCCACAATCTGGTACATACAGATACTTTATGATACGTTTTGGATACAATCAACATGATTGCTACAACTAACCTCAATATATGATACGACCTGATAGGATCGCCACGATTAAAACCACGATTTTAATCGTAGCGCGAATCGTGATAGTGGGAACCTAGTATACGATATGGAAAGATGAAGAGAATGTTTAAGTGTCCATCAATTTTAAAATGACACATTATATTAATTCATCCACCTTATTTTATGATCAAATGAACCTTGTGCGTATTAAGATTCCTTAATAGAGCTGTCCGAGAAATGATATTAATAATCGGATTAAAATACAGATCCTATTTCGTTCCGTTTTGTACAGTTTAAAATTTTGTTTTAGTTGTCTTTACTACACTCTGATCTGGAAGAGTTGTTATATAACCCGCGTTATTAGCCAATGAAACTGTTGGCCTGCTCTGTATAGAACTGTGGGTAAACCATTGATTAATCAATGTCTGACGTCATGGGGTCAAAAGCTGCTCATACAACCCCTAACGCGACCTCCCATTACAACTGGTCAGATCTTCATGTAGTGTAGGCCATTGAAAGTATAAAAAAGGAAAGGAAAAATAGATCTGTATTTTAATAAGATTGCGATATCAAGGCATATTGAACATGATGATTATAATATCAATACGTGATTTACATAAATATCATAACAACATCAAAGAATATTCACTATTCATACGCTCGTCAATTAATCTCTCAAATAATTTATTTCATGAAACTAAACAGACTATTTTTGGCATTTATGGAATTTACAGCATGGATTCAAAGATAGCCATACAAAGTGTTGAAATACGCCTTCACGATAGCAAAGTCTCGACAACAGCTTATACAAAAAGAAAAATTGGATGTTGACCAAATTGATATTTCCGTAAATAGGGGATAACTCTGGAACTGAAAGTTGCAGAATGCTGAATATTGATAGGGTTCTTCCTCTAATGGCCAATAATCCTTCACACCAAATTTGAAAAGAATCAGTTTAAAACTATAGTGTCTATCAAGTTCACACGTTTTTTGGCAAAGGGGGCATAACTCTGGTACAATAGGGTTCATCCTCTTTTCACCCTGATGTTTCAAACCAAATTTGAACTTTGACAATTGCTATAATACCAGAATTTTGACAGTTCCTAGATACCAGAAACCAGAACTTTGTCAGTTCCTCGATACCAGAAACCAGAATTTTGTCATTTCCTGGATACCAGAACTTTGACAGTTCCTAGATACCAGAACTTGGTCTGTTCCCAGATATAGAAACCAGAACTTGGTCAGTTCCCAGATATACTGTGCCAGAAATTAACCTTGTAAATTAGCAACAGAATCATCTACAGTTTTAAATAAAGGACTGTGAGGCACTGATATTTGATTGATATTGATAAATATAATAAATATCAAGTAACATGCAAAATACATTATAGGCAAACAAATATGTTCAATTTTGATTAAGCGATTGGTGTTATACATAGGTTAAATATACTAACATGTCATGAACACAAAATATAGGACTCTTTAAAAGACAGACAATGAATATATTTTTCAAATTATTTCTAAAATCTGTAATTTTTTTAATTTATAGAGTTTGAAGGAAGAGACAACTTAATAATTAATAGTGACCAATTTCAGCTTCCATAAATATCAATTAATGTCATTTTTAAATTCGCATTTGGTAATTGAAAACAATTAAAGGGGCATTATTGGAGATTAGATAAAGAGCTGGCAGTTCTCACTATGATAGTTAAATACTAGATAATGTAAAGGTAATTTGCCTCAATCATCATTACTAAAGTCCTGATTACCCATTTTTTTTATTTAACCATGAATGAGCGTTGAGCAGCAGATCAGATTATAATCCAGTAAATATCGCAGGCTAGCGAGGACATCGAGAGTTGATTATGATCTGGATAAGTTAATTAATGTCTAATTAATAATTTAGATAACATTCCAGGCCTAAAGAAAGAGCTGCAATTTAGATCTTGAATAATGTATGTTTAACAGAACACAATTTTTATGGGAAACAATCATGTACTGGTTTTATAAGTACGATATTTTGACCAGTTATTGTTTCCCATAAAAATAGTGTTCTGTTAAAGATGCTAAATCTGCCTATTGCAGGTCTGTTTTCTATGAAATGAAATGTTGTTTAATGGCATGTCAGCTCCAACAGGGCTATATTGCGTCAAACATATGGCTCTGTTTTCTAACTGCATGACAAGCCCATAATCAACTCTCTAGGTTATCGGATGGCTTAGATATTTAATGGATTAGAACATGTTTGCCATTTAATAATTTAAAATTGATAATCAAGACATACAATGATAATCGGCAATTAAGTCTATCTTGTTAAAATTTCAAAAACTTAAAACATCACTCAGAATAAACTAATTTGACTGAAATTTTCAATGTATTCATTTTTCATTATCTATTTTTGAACCATTATAGCAAGAACGGCCAACACTGTAGCTAAATCTTACATAATACATGTTTAATGTACTTATGGATAAAAAGCATGAATTTGTGTTTGATACAGAGTTTGATATCTCATCAATAACTGAACACTCATCATTAACAAATTATAACCAATAATAAAATTCAACTAAAAATAAAATAAATATAACTTAAAAAAATGCATAAATTACAATAGCAATAAATTTCATTTTGCAAAGCAAAGCATCTATAGGCCTAATATATTATAAAACATTGTATTGTTCTCTTAATTTCTCTACAAAAACAAATAATCCCTGAAAAATACCACAATGAGAGTTATTCCCCTTTTATATAAAATGCAATAAGTTTGCACCATCTGACTTTAAGTTAAAATTACCGGTAATTTTAATAAACCTTCTATTTATGACTAGTCGGTATATAAAAGTTTGGAGTTGGCGTTAGAATATTCAACCTTCCAGAGCATTAAATGATATTTATCTAAAACCTCAAAAATATAGCGATTTGTTATCTTCAACAATCAAAATCACAATGACAGCAAAACAAGATAATTTCCATGTTGTGATGTTTCACGTTAATCTCACTGGTATTTCTTGCTTGAAGTTTAAGAGTTCTTCTGTACCAGGAAGACAACCAGCATAACCACACCTAGCAACCAGTTCTGTACCACACCTTATAGCAACCAGTTCTGTACCACACCTTATAGCAACCAGTTCTGTACCACACCTAGCAACCAGTTTTTCAAAATGCATTCAATATTTGCGTAGCTCACAATAGACTATAACATATCATACAAAACATAACATAACATAAATAAACAATAAAAATAATAAATTAGACATATTCTGGTTGAAATCGTAGATAGTTGATTAATCTTGCTGGAAGGGGGAGCCTCTCGATGATTTCCGGGGAAAACTGCTGTAGAATTCTAATACGACACCGGTTTTGTAAGTTTCCATAAATTGGTAATTTATAAATCTGTATATGATCCGTAGATGTTTCCATATCATTTAGAACAATGGCCATTCGACTGCCACAGTACGAGAATGTGGGCATGTAATTTATCGGACAGGAATGAACGCCACAGGCATAGCGGTGATACTGAATACAATGTAACGTTTGAGCATTTTCACCATCAAAAATATAAATGCTGACATCTATTGGCTGAAATCTGCGGGTTCGTTTCTCTCGACAATGGCAACCACTGGTAACCATGACGGCAAAGAGGATATTCCCTTCTAACGAGTACTTCAAGTCCTTTAAATTAGGATGTAAACTGGTTCGTAGATCATCCACACGAGAATTGATGGCTAATATATCCCATGATGCTGCTCGCACTAAACACAAGCTATTGTCATGTCCTTCTTTAAAACTTGTCATCGCCAAACGTGAAGAGCAACTCTTCGGATCAAAAGCGAAAATAGAATGATTGTATGGAGGACTAATTTCACTAACTAACTGCTTTGTATCTAAATCGTACAACTGGAAGACAAAGGCATTATTTCCTGTTTTAAGTGACGGTATTTTTATCATCACCATAGTACCATCCGGACTGATTTCACCTCTCAGAGCTTCGTTGACAAATTCCACCGTCTGATGTCCGAAGATTCCCAAAAATTTATTCTGGTGTAAATCTATAATGCCGAACTGCGTCATTAAATTGCGAACTAAATGAAGAATCACCGTATTTCCTTTATAACAAAGAACACTTTTTACATGGAAGTTTTGAATCGATGAGAGATGGGCTGGTATGTGGTTATATTCAAAATGTTCGGCCATTTTAGTGAATTTGCTTTTGCGTCTAAAACTGAATATTGGGCCTGATTTAATATTTATGATTCCTTGTCGACTGGTACAGAAAGTCACGCTACAATCTTTGAACACGACCCCACTACACGACATGATGGTCTCCTGGAAGCCAGCTGCTTCTGAAATGGAAAATAATTCAATACATTTGATTAAAGTTTCAGAGTTACAGTGCTTCATTTTTTGCAAAAATATTAAATTTCTCCCAACTTTGTTTCCAGTGTTGGCTTGTACGAGACAAGGAGTAGGGTCACCTGTAGGGTCACCTGTCCAACAGTATACATGTAGGTGCAGAAATTGGAAATGAAATTAATTATTACTTCTATTCACACTAATTCACAGTCTTTCTACAGTGCTCCAATTCACTAAATTATTCAGAATCACTTCACAATAAATAAACAACTTGACTAAAGATACATTATGGGAGATTAGATAAAGAGCTGGCAGTACTCACTATAATAGTTAAAAACTAGATAATATAAAGGCAATTTGCTGAATATCTCAGTCAAATTGATCCACTCTGAAACAAAATTTTAGCGTTTGAATTTCGGCCTAGCGGCGATCATCATTACTGAAGTCGGTATGCTAAACGATTATCCATTTCATGATTAAATCATGAATGGAAGTCGAACAGCAAATCAGAACCTAATCCAATAAACATCACAGACTAGCGATGACATCAAGAGTTGATTATGGCCTGGATAAGTTAATTAATGACAAGGAGTAGGGTCGCCTGTCCAACCTCATGGGTTTTCTCCGCGTCCTCCGGTTCCCTCCCACTGCTTAAGACCCATACGCGCAAGCGAATTATTGAAATAAAATTGAATCATGTGTTAGTCCCGAAATGACCTAGTTTGTGTTGTGTGGACGTTAAACCCCATTTCTCTCTTTCTCTCTGATAATAATTCATTTCTGGTAATAGAATTCCCTGTGAAAGTTACAACATCAAACTTTATTGTCTTCATATCATCACTTTGATTGAACAAGCCATACAAACAAAATATTCTGCTTCTCAGACAATCTGAACCAAAAATCGGTTTTGTGAAAGGGTCAGTGATTAACTAATTGGCTAAATGACTTCTCATTTCAAGGGCATGTGAGTGTTGGTGAGATTGTAGGGTAGTTAGGGTAAGCATTGGGACTAGGTCCAGGGTTAGGGTTAGGGTTGGGATTAGTGCTAACCCTATGTATATCTCGTGACTTATGATGAAAAATTGAGCTGGCCTTATCTTTTAGCACTAACCCATTTCAAGGCACTATACTTATCTCCTGTGGTTTACAGGAATGTATGATTATCCAGTACCATTTATGATTGCCATTAACAGTTATCAGGGTTGTGTACTTGATAATTGAGTCTATGGAATCATTTAAATTTATTTATAGATTTACTTCAAGTAACATGTAAAATATTTACATGCAGTAGGTAATTAATAAGACTATTTTTATGTTCTTAAAATAAAAACAAGTCATGCAGCCGTTTTTAAGTAGTGACATAGATTTATCTAAGAAGCAGAATATCTATTTCATAAGGCCTAAATCGGAGTTTAGTTTAATATGAATTGGGTTTCATTTTCCATGATTATTCTATTATCAATATGCCTAAATCCTTAATCCTTTTAACTACACAGCAACCTATCAATACCAGCAGTATCGAAAGAGAGAGAGAGAGAGAGAGAGAGAGAGAGAGAGAGAGATACACTATCAAGCAAATAGTGAGAGAGATGGGAGTGTAACCTCCTCTCAACACAAACTAGGTCATTTCTTCCTGGTAGAGGTCTTTTGCAGTAGGAGGTAATAAGAGATCAGGAGAAAATCGACAAGGTTGGACAAGTGACCCTGTTTACATTTTGAGTGAAGTCTGGGATCACTACAGGCCTAGGAACGTGGAGTGCAGTAGACTCCTAACAACCTACCCTCGGATCTATTCATGTGATTTGTAGTCGCAATCTACTACAGTGGCTCAGTGAGTAAGGTGCAGGCTCACTTCCCAGGACTGACCAGGTTTTGAACCTAGAGTTGGCTAATTTTCAACCATGGTTCCCCCTTGTCATAACTCTACTGAACCTAGAGTTGGCTAATTTTAACAAACATGGTTTCCCATAGTCATAAGGTCTACTGAACCTAGTGTTGGCCTTTCAAACATGGTTTCCCCTTGTCTACGAAATAAAGATAAACAACTTCTCAAACTATTGCCATGGGAGACATTTTCTTTCATTTTAAAGGTATATATGTAGTGACCCTGTCTACAAAAAGACAAGAGAATGGTGTTTGACATTTAGCAGGCTTAATGTCTATCAAGATAAAATAATGATAATTTGGGTTTTATGGCCTATTGTTGGTGATAATGTTGGCAGGAAGACTGACAGAGAATTGTAGAAATCCTTCTAATGAAATTTACTCTAATTATAACACTAATAGCTGATAAATTGGATTTCCTAGCTTCTCATCTGGGTAATTCACGGCTTTAATGAAGCTTAGTTATAAACCTAATTAAAACCAGAGAGAGAGAGAGAGAGAGAGAGATACACACTATCAAGAGAGAGAGAGAGAGAGAGAGAGAGAGAGTGAGTGAGATACACACTATCAAGAGAGAGAGAGAGAGAGATACACACTATCAAGAGAGAGAGAGATACACACTATCAAGAGAGAGAGAGAGAGATACACACTATCAAGAGAGAGAGAGAGAGAGAGAGATACACACTATCAAGAGAGAGAGAGAGATACACACTATCAAGAGAGAGAGAGAGAGATACACACTATCAAGAGAGAGAGAGAGAGATACACACTATCAAGAGAGAGAGAGAGAGAGAGAGATACACACTATCAAGAGAGAGAGAGAGAGAGAGAGAGAGAGAGATACACACTATCAAGAGAGAGAGAGAGATACACACTATCAAGAGAGAGAGAGAGAGATACACACTATCAAGAGAGAGAGAGAGAGAGAGAGAGATAGAGAGAAAGAGAGAAACAGGGTTTCACCTTCTACTGTACTGAACTACTGAAGACTGGGAGAGAGGGAGAGAGAAGAGAGAGAAGAGAGACAGAAATGGGATTTAACCTCCACTTGACACAAACTAGATCATTTCAGGACTAACATATGGTTTAATTTTATTTCAATAATTTTGCTTGCAAGGTAGATATCTTTAGCAGTGGGAGGAAACCGGAGAACCCGGAGAAAACCCATGAGGTTAGACAGGCAACCTGGCTCCTTGTCACGTACAACCAGGAATTAAAACCACGTCAGTTGACTCAATGACAGACCTTGTGATTTCATGTATATGCATTAAACCACTTGACACCCTCCCCATCCTAAATGCAATAGGCTTCTCACCAATGTAAACAACATATGTAAATATTTAAAAGATAGATGCTGTCTGAATAGTGTGGACGACTGACCAACGGACATACGTATCACTACATATCAATGTCTGCTTATAAAAATTACAGTACATAAACACCTGCAAATCTTTCTAATTTGTAAATGAAAATGATTTTGGCATGGAATCAAATAAATTAAACTATATATATAGCAGACCTGATAACACTCAAGTCGAGCAACAACCCTAATAAACATGTGAGTTCAGTTCTTATCAGAATAACTTGCTAGTCTCATTTTTATACCAAATATTTTACATGAATATATATATACTAGTCAGAGAGAGAGATAGAGAGAGAGAGAGAGAGAGAGAGAGAGAGAGAGAGAGAGAGAGAGATGGGGTTTAATGTCCACTCGACACAAACTAGGTCATTTCGGGACTAACACATGGTTCAATTTTATTTTATTAGCAGTGGGAGGAAACCGGAGGGCCCGGAGAAAACCCACGAGGTCAGACAGGCAATCCTGCTCCTTGTCACTTACGGATACAACCAGGGAATCGAAATATACTATTCATTAAATACAGTAGTCTGTAAACATCTCTCTAGACCATCAGAGGGATAGAAACACGACTGTCATTGAATAGACTATCACTGTCAATGAAACAATTACCGTCTGTGGGCCACTTTAAATCTCAACTCAAAATATTCTTATTTCAAAACCCTGATCTGTAAATAATCAGTGAATATAAAAACAAACAGCGCCTTAGAAACTGTTGTCTTCGGTATTAACGCGCTTTATAAATGACGATATTATTATTATTATTATTATTTAAACATGCATTATGCAAGAGCTAAATCTGCCTATTGCTGGTCTTTCTTTAGGACTGAAATGTTATATAAACTATTAATTAGACATTAATTAACGTCTCCAGAACATAATCAACTCTCGATGTCAGCGCTATCCTGCGATAATTGTTGGATTATGATTCGATTTTCTGCATAACTTTCCTTCTTGATTTAACGATTAAATGGAGACTATGATTTTTGCCGTAACCGACTTTAGTAATGATGACTGAGGCTTAGTTACTTTAGTAACGTAAATTGTAGAAGGCGTAAATTGTATCGGCTCTGCCTTCTACTACGTTACTGTCAGTTGCTAATGACAACTAGTATGAAAATAAGGCTTTTCCCCTATCTCGGTTCTAAGGCAATTTTGGAATCCTTACCGTCTATTTTTCACCGTGATTCTTCTTTGGTCGCTAAAAGGAACTACTAGACTCGTAATTCTCTGTGAAACAGATTGACATCAATGCTGATTGGTTAATCAAATGTCTGACGTCATAGGGTTAAAAGCCGCTCGTGTGACCTCTGACGCGACCTATCGCTACAACCGGTCAGTGTAGGCCATCGAAAGTATAAAAAACGGAACGAAATATTGATCTGTATTTTAATCAGATTGAGCGAGAACTGTCAGCTCTTGATCTAAATCTTACATAATGTATTTTTAATCAACAAATCTACTGCTGTTTTGGAAGTATTTTAAAAACCCTATAAATTCTTCCCCCGCACCCCGTATCCCACTTTCATTTTAATATCACTTTCAACGATCAGTTTTTTTTATCTAAAACTTACATAATGCATTTTCAATTTGATAGAGTGAGAGAGAGATGGGGTTTAACGTCCACTCGAACTAGGTCATTTCGGGACTAACGTATGGTTTAATATTTTATTTCAATAATTCACTTGCGTGTAGGGGTCTTTAGCAGTGGGAGGAAACTGGAGGACATGGAGAAAACCCACGAGGTTGGACTCCTTGTCACGTACAACCAGGGAATCGAAACCACGCCAGTTGACTCAATGACAGACTTTATGAAACAGCGCGCACTTGCTAACCATTCGGCCATATCAATGCGATAATGTGTATTCGTAATATTCATGTTAAAATTTAGATAATTAAATATTTACAAGATGAACAAGTTATTCTGATGAAATATCAGTAATGTCAGGTTCCCACTACCGTGCGATGTGTTACGATAGGATTGTCCCTATTGAGTCCACGTTCGGATACGCATCGATATGATCAACACGATTGCTATGACTAACCACAAGATATGATAAGACCTGATAGGATCACCACGATTACTCCACGATTAAAACCACGATTTCAATCGTAGAGCTAATCGTGATAGTGAGAACCTAGCATTAGTTAATAAGTTCCTACCTGCATGTCCAGCCTTCCATTGGTCAACGGAACATTGATGTAAAAGAGACCAGGGCCGAGCTCTTTGTATTTGTTTGTTCATGTTCCGATTAACGGAATTCGCTCCCATCAACCCATAATTCCCTGCTCGACTCTCTTCCGCTCCCATCTCGGTGGTCACATTAAGTTCTGTAAAAAGAAAATTGAACTTTAAGTAGATGCGTTATATAATACAATGGACTGAATTATAATTGTTAATTAACATTTAATTAGTTTTAATTTATCGAGCTATCTGCTCTTAAGCCACGCCTCCTAGGTGGCGCTATGTAATTGTATTACCCATCTAAAGGGTAATTTGATTCCTGCAATCCCCATAGGAAGGAATAGTTTCATGCCTTGATAAATCTTACTTAGCCAGAATATTTTCTTTGGTGAAATAAATAATGAATGAACATGTACACCAGAGACGTGTCACAGCGGTAATGAGAACGCCTTCGTTTAACACTACACCAGATGACTAATCTTTAATGCCACACCCAGTATAGTTCTACGTATGATATCATATGATGTTGATAACACTTGGATGTAGTAATACAAACTGGTCTGGGCAGAATTCGTGCCTTTTACTTACATTATGCCTTTTACTCATTTCACGCCTTTTACTCATTTCACGCCTTTTACTCATTTCACGCCTTTTACTTATTTTACGCCTTTTATTCATTTTACCTCTTGTACACAAATTAGGAAATGTCTTTTATCCAGATATACTTTAAACATGTTTACTTTTTTTCTTTAAAATGTTAAAAAAATTGTTTTAGATCTAATCTGCAGAAGAAAACCAAATAATATTGAGAGGTTATTAACTCGCCCTCATGTCATATTGGCAGTCCAGCAAATATTTACTGCGGACAAGTTTGACACTTCTCTTCTAGCCCTGATGCAATTATTGCATCACCTTCATCATGTGCCGATATGTTTATTATTGTACCGACTTTAGTAATGATCGAGGCCAGTCCTAAAATTCAATCACTAAAATCTTGATTCATAGTGGATCAATTTGATTGAAATTTTCGGCAAATTCCCTTTATATTATCTAGATTTTAACTATTATAGTGAGAACTGCCAACTCTTTATCTAATCTCCCATAATATATCTTTAAGACAGCCCTGACCATAAAATAATAAAGGCATATAGTAAACACTGAAATACCTCAAGTCCTTAAATAAAAATTATTCCAAATAAAGTAGAATCCAAAATAAATCAATTCAATAAATATTCTGATTACTATATGACCAACATCAATCCACTGTTTTATAAGATAACATTCACAGAAGAATCATACTCTTGTAATAAAACTAACAGATGATCACAAACAATAAATACCCACCCCACAAAAAAAACAAACGGTTCACTAGATGGTCGAATCAGATTGATTAACATATAACAAAAACATTTATTTTTTAAGAATCTGTTGACAGATAGTTTTTATAATGTGACATTTCTCATAATTTCACAATATTCATAAAAATAATATTAACACACATTCTGTTCATTAAGGATATAGGTTCCCAGAAAAGTATTTATCGGGTGGTTATTTCCAATAAAAGTATGGCAATTTTGGTATATATGGAAAGTAGAAATATCCAATCTTACTAGAAAAATACTTGATTCCTTGAAAAAAACTCATGGAGCGTATACAGGACAAAAATGTAAGGTTTCCCTGATCTTGCTACAATAGTTCGAAAATAGATGAGAAATCAATATGTATACATGTAACACTATATAGTAATTTAACTGAAATTTCCATATATTCTTTTCTCATTAACATTTGAAGCTGAAATGAAATTGGGTTTATCTTCCTACTGTTCTGCTCCGACTGGGCTAATGAAGACGGGCATACGCCATACAGTGTGCTATAAGGAAAGTTTTGCCTGGGCAGCGGCACTATGGCCTACTCTTATATCGAATTCCAACTGCCAAGGGACCTTTTACGTGCACGTTGGAAAATCCTGATGAACTTTGAAGCTAGAAAAAAAGATCTGCTGTTGTATCTTTAAGGTAAGAATATTAAAACCAAAGGATACATAATTACATATTGTAGCTATTAGCTTTTTTATACGGCTTGACTTTTCTTATCTTAAACTGAACTATAAATAAACAATAAATTAGTTCTGGTGTTCTAATAATAAAATACAAACTATAGCCTACAACCATATACTCTACCTGTAGCCTACAACTATATACCACCAGGTAAATAAAACATGTCAGGTAAATAAACGAAGTTGACCTTTAATTAAGATAATAAATCAACCTGGTCATTAATCAAATTCTCTCGTCCTGAAACTTGGACAAGCTATGAGGTAATAAAAACACAGGTAGCTACATTTACCTATTACATACTAGGACAGGTAAATTGTAATTTAATAAAGACATAGGCTTTTATCTCACATTCCACACCTTTACACTGGATTTTAAACATAACAGAACATTTAAAGATACACGATGTAAGATTTAGATAAAGAGCTGGCCATTCTATAATACTTCTAAAATAGATGATGTAAAATGAATTTATTGAAAATTTCATTCAAATTGCTCCATTAGCATTCAAAGGTTTGACAAGATGTGAGCATTAATTGCAACCATTGCACTGGTTGTTCGAAGCTAAGACTCGCTTCACCATTTTTAGATTAAATCAAAATATGGCTGAGCCATTCTAATCTACTTAATATCGAAGGTATCTGATGACATTGAGAGTTGATTATGGCCTGTATAAGTTAATTAATGTCTAATTAATAGATACATAACATTGAAGGCCTAAAGAAAGAACTGAAATAGGCAGATTTAGTTCTTGCATATTATTTATTTAAAGAGGAAATATGTAAGAGCTTAACCTGTCTATTGCAGGTCTTTTTACTAGCCTCAAATGCTATATTATTATTATTTTTGACATTTATTCACATAACAAGAACATAATCAACTCTCTGGGCCATCGGATGACTCTGATTTAATGTAGATTAGAACTTTAAACTCTCATAACTTGACTGAAATTTTCATAATATTCATTTTTAATTATCTTTTATAACAAGAGCGAGCAGCTCCTTGTCTTATTCTTACATGCATCTTTAAATGTCAAACTTTATTCAACTGAAAATATTAACAGATCTTTTCAATATATTCGCTGATAAAATACAATAAATTAATTATACATTATGCAAGAGCTAAATCTGTCTATTGCAGGGCTTTCTTTAGGCCTGAAATGTTATATAAATTATTAATTAGACATTAATTAACCTATCCAGACCATAATCAACTCTAGATGGCATCGCTAGCCTGCGATCTTTGGTGGATTATGAGCCGATTTACTGCATAACTTTCCTTCAAGATTTAACGATTAAATGGATAATCAAGACTATGCTGTTTATCGTACTGACTGTAGTAATGATGATCGAGGCTAGGCGGAAATTTCAATCGCTTAGTTCTCGGTTCATAGTGGATCAACTTGAATGAAATTTTCAGCAAATTGCCTTTACATTATCTAGTTTTTAACTATTACATGTATTGTGAGAACTGCCAACTCCTTATCTAATCTCCCATAATGTATATCTTTAAAATCTATCGAACACTTAAACAATCTTAAATCATGGTAGAGCCATGTGGTTACCAGTTATGCACCATATATCTTACGATGAGCAATGATAAGATAAACCAGTTTTTGAAATATAATATGTCCGCTCCACACATGATCATCATCAAAAGCTATATGACGAGTACATTGCTGATTGCTGGTACAATGTAATTAAATAAGGGAAATATCTTTTGATGAATAATAAAAAGGTGTGCCAGTAAAAGAGAATTCAATTATTTTACAAAAAAGTAATCAATTTATGCTAAAAACTCTTTGAAGTTTGTAATCAATGTATGTTTCCGAAAAAATTTGCACAGAAGTAAAACTTGCACTAGTTTCATGGTAAACGATGAAAAGATAAAAGGTATGCAGACACAAACTGATTTCAACACTGGTTTAAAAACATTTTAAGGTACATTTTCGCTCATTTGGAGAACTCGTCCAAAAAAAGAGAGAAAGAGAAATGGGGCTTTAGTCCACTCGACAAAAACTAGGTCATTTTGGGGCCAATATGATCAGTTTTTATTTCAATAATTCTCTTGCACATAGGGGTCTTTAGTAGTAGGAGGAAAGCAGAGGACCCGGAGAAACCCACGAGGCTGGGCAGGCGACATTACTCCTTGTCACGTACAACCGGGGAATCAAAACCACGCCAGTTGACTCAATGACAAACCTTATGATACAGCGTCAACCGCCACAGTCCAAAAATAATATCATTGTATAATAATGTATGTATGTATGTATGTATGTATGTATGTATGTATGTATGTGTGTGTGTGTATGTGTGTGTGTATGTATGTATGTGTGTGTGTGTGTGTGTGTGTGTGTGTGTGGGTGTGTGTGTGTGTGTGTGTGTGGGTGTGTGTGTGTGTGTGTGTGTGTGTGTGTGTGTGTGTGTGTGTGTGTGTGTATGTATGTATGTATGTATGTATGTATGTATGTATAATTGCTTATTAGTGTATGTTTTTACTCGTTAACAACTGAAATGTGATAACATATTTATCTGAAAATCATTATTGAATTATAGATTAAGACATGGGGAGAAATGAAATGGGGTTTAACGTCCTACTGTTCTACTCCTATACTGGGCTAATGAAGACGGGCATACGCCATACAGTGTGCTATGAGGGACATTTTGCCAGGGCAGCGGCACTATGGCCTACTCTTATATAGAATTTCAACTGTTAAGGGATCTTTTACAGCACGTCAATGCATACCTGGGATCTCACTTGGGGAGGTCATGAGAAAAATTATATTAAATGGAGAATGGCACTAGAGTTTCACAGTAAAATTACAAGTTAATAGTCTAAAAAAAAACCAAGACCGATGGATGCGATATTCGGTAGTTCACCAGGACGTTCACTTCAAAATTTTGCCCGCAGGTAAATTTTTAACATATTAACAACATATTTCATTTTTAAAAGAATGTGTCAATTCAAGTACTTTTTCATTTACATTTATTTATACATAAGAATTATAATATAACCATACATTATGCAAGAGCTAAACCTTCCTATTTCAGGTTTTTATTTTGGGTTCTTTTGTTATATAAACTATTATTCAG